GGGGTTTTGGGGTGCAGCCTGACCCCCAACCTTAAGGTTTTGGGGTTTTGGGGTGCAACCATCTCCTGCCTTCAACCCAAGTTGGTTTTGGGGTTCAGTCTTCTCCCACCTTCAACCCAACGTGGTTTTGGGGTTCAACCTTCTTGCCTTTGGGATTTTGGGGTTCAACCTTCTCCCACCCTCAACCCGAGGTGGTTTTGGGGTTCAACCTTCTCCCACCTTCAACCCGAGGTGGTTTTGGGGTTCAACCTTCTCACCCTTGGGATTTTGGGGTTCAACCTTCTCCCACCTTCAACCCGAGGTAGTTTTGGGGTTCAACCTTCTTGCCTTTGGGGTTTTGGGGTTCAAGCTTCTCCTACCTTCAATGCGAGGTGGTTTTGGGGTGCAACCTTCTCACCCTTGGGATTTTGGGGTTCAACCTTCTCCCACCTTCAACCCGAGGTAGTTTTGGGGTTCAACCTTCTTGCCTTTGGGGTTTTGGGGTTCAAGCTTCTCCTACCTTCAATGCGAGGTGGTTTTGGGGTGCAACCTTCTCACCCTTGGGATTTTGGGGTTCAACCTTCTCCCACCTTCAACCCGAGGTAGTTTTGGGGTTCAACCTTCTTGCCTTTGGGGTTTTGGGGTTCAAGCTTCTCCTACCTTCAATGCGAGGTGGTTTTGGGGTGCAACCTTCTCACCCTTGGGATTTTGGGGTTCAACCTTCTCCCACCTTCAACCCGAGGTAGTTTTGGGGTTCAACCTTCTTGCCTTTGGGGTTTTGGGGTTCAAGCTTCTCCTACCTTCAATGCGAGGTGGTTTTGGGGTGCAACCTTCTCACCCTTGGGATTTTGGGGTTCAACCTTCTCCCACCTTCAACCCGAGGTAGTTTTGGGGTTCAACCTTCTTGCCTTTGGGGTTTTGGGGTTCAAGCTTCTCCTACCTTCAATGCGAGGTGGTTTTGGGGTGCAACCTTCTCACCCTTGGGATTTTGGGGTTCAACCTTCTCCCACCTTCAACCCGAGGTAGTTTTGGGGTTCAACCTTCTTGCCTTTGGGGTTTTGGGGTTCAAGCTTCTCCTACCTTCAATGCGAGGTGGTTTTGGGGTGCAACCTTCTCACCCTTGGGATTTTGGTCCGGTCCACTTACCCTCCAACCTCCCCACCCTTTCTTTCTGAAACCTTCTCCCCAACCTTCTCCTCACCAAACTTTTGGGGGGGGG